ACTTCCAAGAAAAAAATGCCTGCCCCATCAGCCATCCCACCCTTCCAGAGTTTATGGACTGCGAGCCTGTGAGATCCGGAATGGCAATAGCTGGGGACAAACGATGGCGTGTATTTTTTCCACGAGCATCAAAGAAAAATGTGCGTTTTTGTCTGCTTAAGAAATGTTTGTCAGGGGGCTGGAGAGATGGCTCAGTGGTTAAGAGCATTGGCTGCTCTTCCAGAGAACCTGAGTTCAATTAATTCCCAGCACCCACATGGCAGCTCACAACTGTCTACAACTCCAGTTTCAGGAGATGAACACCAATGCACAAAAAATGAATTTAAATAAATTATTTTTTTAAAAAAGTGTTTGTCAAGTATGTAACGCACGCCTTTAATCCCAGCACTTGGGAGGCAGAGGCAGGTGGATCTCTGAGAGTTTGAGCCCAGCCTGGTGTACAGAACGAGTCCCAGGACAGTCAGGGCTACACAGTGAGGCCTTGTCTCAAAAACTAAAAAAGAAAAAATTCTTAGCCAGGCGGTGGTGACAGAGAAGCCCTGCCTCTAAAAATTATTGGTGTTGCTTCTGCTTAGGCTGTGGTGGAGGCTCTGAGGCCTTGTGTCCTCTCCTGTGTCACCCACCTACTTCCCATTCATGACTTAGTGGCCACCAATATTGAATAAATGAAGTCCTTTCAAGAGTTAACTAAAACATGTTGAATTTCAAATCTCTTGGAATAAATAACATATGTAACACGAATGTTTGAACTAGTCGAATAATTCTCTAATAAAAACTCTCTGGAAGTAAGTGCTTCTGAAAGCTGCAGTTGTAGGTCAGTTGGTGGGATGCTTGCAGAACATACTGCTTGCAAACATCCTGGGCTTGAGCCCCAGCCCATTTTGATCCAGTGTGGTGATGCATGCCCAGAATCCCAACACTTGGGGAAGTGGAGACAGGGGGTCCACAGTTGGCTGCTAGACCAGTCTGGACTAAATGAGATCTTATCTCCAAAAATTTGTAAACAGAAACAAAATATTTCTAGTATATAACAATGCTTACATATCTATATGATTAAATTCAATAATTCTCATAATCCATACTTATTGGCAAAAAGCTTATTAAGGGATAAATTTCAATATTATTAGTATTATGTTAGATATATTGTACACCTAAAAGATAAACTATTAACATTTAACAATCATTAACATAGAAGTATGTTGATTATAAAGTACTATCTGAAAATTTTAGCAGTTAAAAGTGTGTTCAAACAAATATATTTGTGGAATTACTAAAAGTAATTGTGGTCCTTATCTGTACCATAATTCTTGTCAGCATTTCTTTTTCTCTCTTTTTTTTTTCTTTCTTTTTTGGTTTTTCGAGACAGGATTTCTCTGTGTAGCTTTGGAGGCTGTCCTGGTACTCTGAGCTGTAGATCAGGCTGGCCTCGAACTCACAGAGATTCTCCCGTCTCTGCCTCCCGAGGGCTGGGATTAAAGGTGTGAACCACCACCACCGCCTGGCTCTTGTCAGCATTTCTATTACACGTATTATTTTTGTGCGTATATGTGGTAGGGAACTATGCACACAGGCCACATGTGTGGCGGTCACAGAACAAATTTTGGGAGTCAGTTCTCTTCTGTCATGTGGGTCCTGGGATTGAACTGTGATTATCAGCTTGGAAACCACTCTCCCACTAAGCCTCCCACTAAACCTGCATTTTTTTTAAACATTATTTTTACTGATTCTTTGGGAAATTTACATCATATACACCAATCCCACTCATTTCTCAGTCCCTCTGCATCGGCCCATGAAAGACCCGCGAAGAGGTACTTTCGTAGAAGGAGACCCGCACCCAGGAATCAGCGAAACCACGAACTTGGATGCAAAACCGCAAGAGGCTTTATTAGTGGCTCGGGTACCCGGGGGCTTAACTTCTCTTAGGCCAAGCCCATGAGCCAAGGGAGAGAGGTCCTTATATAGCAAAAAGCACAGTGCAGAAGCGAAAAGCATAGTTACAGGGATCCTATTGGACAATTTAATGAGGTACAGAGCATTTTCTCACGGTTTGATAATTAGGGGAAGGGCCTTTATCTTCTGCCGCGTCCAGATGGCTGACCTTGGGACGGAGCGATCCGGCGAGGGCCGGCCTTGCGCGGCGGCGGGGAAGTGGGAGCCGGCAGCTGTGGGGATCAAGGGTCGGGGAGTGCAGGGGAGGATGCATTCCCGCGCACTCCGCCAGCTGCCGACCGGAGGAGGAGGCAAACTTGAAAAAGCTAAGGGCGGGGGTCTTTCACTCACTCCTTCCCCTGTTGGGAGCCAAATCTCAGGGCTGGCATGAGATCCTAGGCAATGCTTGGCAGGCCACATAGTTAACCTTTACATAGCAGCTCCTTAGAACCTCAGCTAAAGAAAAGAAACAGCTTGACCCAGTCCTCCACCCACAGGCTCAGTCACCTAGGCAATCCCTTCCTGGACCTCTTACTCATGAATTCTTTACCCTGCCAAACATCCTGTTTGTGGCTTCCTAATATCCTGCCTATACTAACACCTGGTGCACAAACAACCCATTCTGCCCCTCCTCATATCCTGACTATAAGCTAGCCTGAGACAAGTAAAGTTTGCCACTTGATCAGAATCCTGTCTTGTGGTCGTTCTTTCTGCGTCTCTTGTCCCCATTCCCTATCCTGACTCTCTTGCCCCAGGTTGATGTCCTGCAGGTCGGGACATTCCCCCAAAGGAAAACTTTAAAAAGTAATAACAAAAATAAAAAATTAAAATTACAAATAATAATATTAGTTTTTAAAAAACAAAGAAAAGCAATGACCACAACAAAAAAACACGTGGGGCCTCCATATTTCTCACCTCTCCATCGCCTCTTCACTATCTTGGTGCCATTGGGAGCTGCTGTGATCATGCAGTAGACCCTTTTGTCCACACAGCTTTTCTTGAATATGTTCATTGTGTAATGAGTTGTTGGTCAGGTTAAAGCCCCTGGCTTCTGGTTCACCATCAATGCTGGACCCTCACCCAGATTCTTCTCCGATATATCTCCTGCTGTTGTCCTGAGTCATGGAGATCCTGTGGCTATGGTTCCATAGGACCAGTCCCTTCACATGCTTAAGCAGGTCATACATGAGATTGATGCTGGGGAGTGCCAATTCAAAGCCCTGGGTCTGGGCCTTGGTGGTAGCCGAGCTGGTCTGACTGGGCTGCTAGGACCATCTCCCCTCAGGTAAGGGGTGGAGCCAGCTCTCCCACACCCTATCATTTGTAACATAAGTACAAAAACCACAAACATCCATGCCAAGTTACAGTTACATTTTTCACCAATCAGGATCCAAAGATTCGGCGTTTTCCCTATGTGTTTCATCACTGTCAATCGACGCAGAATGTAAGCTTTTCAGTCCAGCCAATCAGATTCATTTGCTTTTTTTCTGTTGTTAGGGACAGCCATGATGTTTTTAGAGAAAAAGATGCATAATGACTATTTCTATGGTTTAAGGAGGAGGCTGTCAGCCATAAGGTTCCAGCTTCTCCAGGGCTTAGGAACTTGTTTCACCCCACGGGT